AAAAAGAGCTTTTGAACTCATGCACAAGTTGATGTATATTATACCCTTGATTTGTGTTAATTATATCAATTTTTAATGCCTTCGATCACAGTAGCTGTTTTCCTCAGAGCTGATTTGTAAGTGAAATCTGAAACTGCAAAGGTTTCCTGCTTGCTGCAAACCTGGGGCAGGTTCAAGGAAGGCTCCCAGTGTTTTTTAGAGAATTCTGGCCTCGACCCATGAAGCAGGGAAAGAAAAACCTGGGCTCAGCAGTTCTGGGTATTGCCCATGCACAGTTCCTCGTGGAACTGAGCCTGTGATGGGTGCTTGGTTCCCTCTGGAGCTGCAATGCCATGGGAAGGGGCAGCTGTAGGGAAGTCTTGACCCCGGTCCTCACCCTGAGCAGCTCTGGGAGGGCACTCAGGAGCCCTGGGCTGGAGTCCCAGCGGGGTCACAGGTGCTGTGGGTGGTGGTCACAGGTGCTGTGGGTGATGCTCACAGCCTCAGCCTGACCTGTGGGCTGCAGGTGGGAGCTGGAGGGGCTGTTGGAGGCTGCTGGATGGACAAGGGGAGCACAGCTGCCTCCTGTCATCCTGGCACAAAATCCTACTGTGACAGTCAGCTTGGCTGCACGGGGACATGGCTGCAGCGCTTCTTTCTCTAATGCCTGGAGCTCCTGACCTCCAAAAGCACCCAGAGCTGCCTTTGCACTCGGGAGAGAGCAGGAGCTGGATTGACATCTGGCTGAAGAGGTCACCCAGGCAATCCAAGGCTTTTTATGCTCTCCCTCTTTGCATACTTGAGAAACAGCCACAGTTGATCTGACCTTTTGGGATATCTGGTTTAAGGTTGAAATGAGCTGTTATAAGAGCTGCAAAACAGCTCTAGAGTCCGCCTGTCAAGTTTCATCATGCCCTGAAAAGTCAAAATGTGCCCATCTCCTTTAGAAACACAAATAAATTGCTTTAGCCTTATCTAGAGTTTTACAGTGACTGCTGTTCTAATGGGATGAAGCACGGTAATCAACTTTATAGAGCATATTTCCATGGCACACCCGTTATGTCATGCCTTGTTTACACAATTGGAATTAGGGATTAAGAGGTACACATACTGGGCAGGGGGCCAAAAATACTTTTACAGCCCTGATTTACTGGCTGGTCCATGCAGGACTTGGGAACTGTGCGTGCATCGGCTGCAGTGGGAATGTGACTGGACTTAGCAAAGTGCAGGGTCACATCACAGTGGCTGAAAATAAACCTGAGGGCCAGGCAGGTGGGCACTGAGTGTCACCACATGAGCCCTGGCAGGGTGGGTGGATGGGACAATTGCTGCTGTGTCTGTCCCCCTCCAAACACATCTTCAGGTGCTGACCTGGTACCTGGGAGTTAAAAACCCCCAGCACAGAGCCTGGGTAGTTGGTGGGAAATACATTATTTATTTTATTTTATTTTATTTTATTTTATTTTATTTTATTTTATTTTATTTTATTTTATTTTATTTTATTTTATTTTATTTTATTTTATTTTATTCAGTGATTCAGAAAAAGCATAATTTAACCCATCATGATGTGCTGCTGACAGCAGGGCTGGGGAACCTGTGCCTGTGGCCACTGCCAAGTCCTGGTTTGGTACCTGCTCCAACAGGAACACAACACTTGCAAAGAAAACTCAGACTTGAGAGTGAAGTAGAGTTATCTATTATAGATTCCTATAGTTTTTGTAGATTTTTATAGTTCACATAGAATTATCTTTTTTATTATCCCAGAATCAGAGTCACAGAATGATTTGTGTTGGAAGGAACTTAAAGATCATCTTGTTCCAGTCCCTTGCCATGGCAGGGACACCTTCTAGAACAGTTGCTCAATGTCCTGTCCAACCTGGCCTTGAACACTTCCAGGGATGGGGCAAGGAACATCACTGCACTAATTAGAATGATGTTCCTTACCTAACAACTGTACAGTTCTAGAAACAGAAAAAGTTCTTAACGTGAAATGTAATTAATGTGTCATTTATGGCCAGAGAGCAGGAGAGGCTGGCCCTGCTCTTTGCCCACTTGCAGAACTCTCCCTGGAGAGGATCCATCCCTGCCTTGCTGAGTATGAGCCAGGGCTGCTGCTCTTTAAACTCACATGCCCAAACCCAGAGAGGGTGGGCTGAGAGCAGGAGCACCCTGAAAGCTCCGAGGCCAGGGGTATCCACCAGACAGGCTTCAGATTCAGAGAAAATGGGACAAGGAGAGGCAGGGGGATGGATGTGGACACCTCCCAGCTCAGAGGAGGATGCAGAGGGAATAGCAGGGCTCAGTCCTGTTGCAGAGCCAGTCCTCTGCAGCCACCTTCTCTGAGCTCCAGCGATGGGGACAGGCACTGCTTTACCCTGCAAGGACACACACCTGCACCAAACTCACGTCTCAGGCAGCCAAACCCCATGGGCTGGACCTCACTTGGAGCTCAGGCACGACTTCTCAGCTTGGGAACAGTGAAGGTATTTTTTCCCCTCCACAGATGCTGTTAATTTGTTAGCCATGTACAAGTGTGAGCTTTGCTGGAGGAAGCCAATTTGTGCAGTTTTTAGCTCTTTCAGTGGTGAAGTCTGCTTTATCTCTTGCTCGTGGGAGCAACTTCGTGGCTTACAAAAAGACATAAATAATTTGTTTTAAAAGTTGTTGGAAGGACAGTGGATTTATGGTCTTATCATAAGAAGGGAATTATAATGACCCTCTGGTCCAGCCCCTGGCCTAGCATAAGCAATTCCCAACTCAGAGCCCACATCTTGCACTTGAACTGGAGCTGGTTAATTTTATTTTTATAAACACATCCAACCCTGCCAGGAGGGCTTTATTCAATAACAAAATATTTTTCTCACTGTCCTTGGCTGGTGGGAGTTAATTGTTCTCTTTGTGAGCTGTGAATGGTTTTGTGTTGTTCCACCTGGCATCTCTGCTTTTGTTTGTTAATTAGGTATTAATTGCAGAGGCTGTTGGGGATTTGTAGGTGAAAAGAGCATGTGTTTATTGGTCCTGCATGGAAGGGGCTGAAATTAATCGAGTTTGGTAACAACACACCTTGTAACATCCCTAATGTATATTTTCCAGGGGGTGTTATGGTCTGATGTTTGGTGAAGCATGGAGAGGTGAGGGAAAGTTTTTGGGTATTGATTCTCTGAATTTTGCAGCTCAGATCGTGCATTGCTGGTTAATGAAATGCAGTGGCAAGGAAAGGACAGAGGCAGAGGGCTGGTTTTTGAAATATCAAAGTTGCTATAAAATAGAAAGTGGAATTGTGGAAGGTGGGTTAACAATGAACCTGCTCCTCATTTTACAAGTTTCACGACAAAGCTAGGAAAAAACATGTAAAACTGATCCTTGGAGAAACTGGCATTGTTATAGACTGCTAGGAACTATTGGAGAATTGAGATGGATTGCCAGGGATTTTATACCTTTTGAAATAAAAATTACAGAATAACATTTTCTATATGGAAAAGAGAGCAAGAAAACTGGAACTGAAGAAACAATACTTAGGAGAGAAGACACTTTAGGTATACAAAGCATTATTTTAGTGTTCTTTCCCAAAAACTTTCAGGAAATCAAAATGTTAAGGTATAATTATTTCAATGCCTTCTGATTGAAGAATATATTAAAAACATTAAAAGAGAAGGCTACAGTTTGGTAAATGGATATACCTGAGGTAATTGCTTGACCTACAGGCTACAAGGCAAAGGTTGTTACTGAGAAACTCCTTAGGGGAACTAGAAAATAAAAATATTCACTTTTCCACTCGAGACTCATCACAATCTACAAGGTGTCAGATATGGCAGGAAGGGATGGTGTGGGGCTGCAGACCCCTTCATCTGCCTTTCTCCTTGAGAGCTGGATTTGCCAAGACTATCTGCTGTGGCCATTTTTGAGAGTGCCTAAAAATTCCATTTCCAGAATGATGAAGAGTGCAGAAGAATGTGGAAAATGAGGTGGGGAAGAGATTTTCAGTGGAGAGCTTCACAATTTCCTGTCTAATACAATATTTTAAAGCCTCTGTTCTTTTGTTGTGCTGCCAATGATGTCTCAGAATCCAAAAACCTTGCATGGATTTTTAAAATGATTTTAAGTCAGTTAAATAAATGCGTTACTCCTGATAAGGCAGCTCATGCAGAATCTGCCATATTTCTCCAGCGGTTTTGTTGAACCAATGTTTTTCTCTGCAAAAGTCAGGCTCTAACCTTCCTTGCTGACCCTTGTGCTTACCTGTGCTCTCCTATCAACCTCCTGGATCAGGACAATGTGCTTTTCCTACCCTCAGCACCTCTATTTACCCTGTTTTTCCGAGGTTATCAGGGGGATACTCAGTATCTGTCATCTGTATAAACATTACAAAGTCATGGGGACAAACTAAAACGATGGATTCTCTGTGAAAGGAGAAGTGTTTTTTAACTTGTATGGGAATTATGGGTTTCCCACCCTTTGCCCCAATGCATAAATCCTGGGCAATAGGCAGCTGAGCCTGTGATTTGGAAAACAAAATCAGGGATTGCGGGCTGTCATGTGTTCGCTATTTTAAATTAATCCTACGTGATAATTTTTGTGGTTCTTCCACTTCACATCACGTGGGCCTGTTCTGCTCATCAGCAGCAGCAGCTGGACAAAGCAGTGCATTCCTGTGCTTTGTTTAATGTGCTGCCTTCCCACCCTGCTCTCTCCCATCTGGCCTTCAGTAGAAGGTTCTGCCCTTGGGAGTTTGCTTGTCCTGCCCCCTCCTTCAGCCCCACAGATTTCTCTGATTACACACATGAAGAGAGAATGTTCCCATGTTTGTGTGTGCAGTGGCATATTCCCTGGACATGCCAGTGGATCAGAGCCAGTGACACTTTTAGAAAAGTAGATTTTCTTTAATAACTAAACCAAGTTTTTTCTTCTAGAGCAGTGTATTCAAATGGATGGTGTGGCATTGGAAATGTGAGTCTGGAAGACTCTGCTCCCTTACCTCATGTCAGCCCATGTGAGACAGCACTGAGGAGTGGTTTTTGGCTTCCACAGGGAGTTTAATGATCAGCAATGATGGTTGTATCTGGGCTGGGAAGGTCCTGCCTTGGACTTGACGTTCCTGTTGGGCTGCATCCACTGATTATGATGATTATTTTCAGCAGCTTTATTGCACTGGCGATAAACACAGACGTTCTTCTTATAAACAACAAGAAACTTTGAACCTTTTAAACACTCCCTAAACTGTGGAGAACTTGTTAAGCTGGTAACCCTCAGCGAGGAAGCAAAGTGCAAAGTGCTGCCAGCCTTGCATTACTCACAGGTCCTTGCAAGTGGCATCTGAGTTTTCCTGGTTCACCAGTGACCAGTGAGGGGTGCTCTGAAGGTAGGGACACCTTCTTCTTTGGCCACAGTGGGAGTTTGTTCCTGTTAGCCCCAGGAAAAGAGGACCTTTGGGTCTTTGACAAATGTTTCTTGCTGATTGTGTGACACTGCTTCACTTCCTGACTCCTCCTTCCCTCTCCTTTCCTCCAAGGCAGGAAATTGATTTAATTCAGCCTTTTCTCTTCTGATGAGAAGTTTTGAGGTCTGTAAGAGTTTTGAGAATATTTCCTCCCCTGCCTGCTCTTTCTTTTTCTTACCCAGTCTTTTGATGGGGATGGGAAGACAGGGAAACTCTCAAGAGGAAGGTGAAACAAAAGCTGTGATTGGATTTTTAGTGCTAGCTAGAAGGAAACTCTTGTTCACATCTCTCCCTTACTCTTCCTCCTCCCAAGATGCTTTTAAAAATAGGAAGGATCTCAAACTGATGTCAGAACAATTCATTCTTGAACTACTCAGCAGATCACAGCGGCTGAGCATCACATTCAACACCCAAAAAGGGATAAGAAGCCCATGAACATCTTTTGGGTTTGCAGTTTGTCTCATCACTCTTGGGGCATTGTTGAAAGGCTGTGGCTGTGATTTGTGTACTGAGCTGGGCCATGGCCACAGGAATGGGGCAGGAGGTTGTGCTAAAATTATCAGACACAGCAGAGCCCATGGTAGCTGTGTAGCATCTGCTTCCTACAAACACCCCAGATTTAATTCAGCCTTGCTATCACAAAAGACTCTGAACTCTAATGACAGTGACAAAAGAAACTTACTGCAGAAATATGAGGAAGGTCTCAAATTTCCACAAACATGGCTATATTTTGGAATATTTATGGAATACATGGAAATAATTATTAATTAAATAATTTAGATATATTTAATAGAAAATGTAAATGATATATCTGTTCCAGAATATGCTTTGCTCTGGAAAACAGAAAGGACACTTGTTACAAGAATATCCTTGAGAGGAGGAAGTGTTTCATCAGCCAAGGAAAAAAAGACCCCCATAAAACAACACTTTCCTTTCTCTTCCTTTCTCCAGCCCTATCCAAATACCATGTGAAAGTCATTTGTCTTGGACTAGGGAGGTTTGCTTGCAAACAACTGCACTTCTCTTTCTGCAGAGCTTAACTACAGGTTTGCTCCTTGAAACCAGACAAAGTCATGGGCTGGTCAATGAACAGATTCCTTTGAATTCCTGTGTCTGTAGTAGTTGAGGTCAGGTATTGGTTTCACTATATTTCTGTTTGTGTTAGCAATGAATTGATTTTTTTACTCTGCTAGTACTTTAAAAGACCCAAAACTCTCCCCTGCTGCCAAACCAGGATGGTTATTAAAGGATTCTAATATTCTTTCCTTTTATTGCCAAAACTGCTTTTAGGATAAACTGACTATGTGAAAAGTAATTCCTTTATGCCCTTACTCTACACTTCAAGAAAAGGAAGGAAGAGGAGATCATAAGGTCTTGGACACCAAAAAGAAAGAAAAAATTTTCTTCAGCACAATCTCATTCTGAAGGAAAACTCTTTTCCAGGTGCAGACTCAGGCTTTTGGGATGTCAGAGAGCGCCTGGTTCCTTGCAGGCTCTCTGTCCATTCTTAGTGTATTTACTGGGTATATTAATAGGGTTTGTTTTCCTGATTCTTAACAGGTATTTTCTGTTCCCATCAAGTTGGTGGAGAAGCCCAACCTGCCAGAAGTATCAAGGAGCTTCTTGTCAGAGGCAAGTCTGACCTTTGGGAGTTGCAAAGGAAGGGAGGACACACTGGGCCTGTCTTCATAACTCAGGGGTGAGGCTCTTCTGGCCAGGATTGGTGGCCAGCCTTTGACAGTCAGTGAAGCTCTTAGCAGTACAGGCAGGGAATCCTTGAGCCAAAGTAATATGGTCCTAAAATAAATGTCAAAAGTACCATGGGCAGATGCTTTCAGGGCACAGTTTATTTCCCTGCCCTGGGGGAGCAGGGAGTGGGTCAGGCAAGTGGGCAGGAACAGTGTCAGTCAGAGCTGGATCTTGGGAAAGCCTTGGTGAAATAACGAGCAGAGCTGATCAGTGTGAGCATGGGGCTTTAGTGTGTCGGTTTCTGCTTCTCTTTTCCTCATGTGCAAGTTTTAATTATAAACTGGGCTTTTCTTTCACCCATCTAAGTGAAGCCACTGTACTCAGGGACACATAGCAAGACAGTCTCTTCACAAATAGAGATTTTTATGCCGAAAAGTAAACTCATAAAATTGTATGTGTGAGATGGAGTAAATCTGTGCCACCCTTGGGAGGCACACTGTCACCCCTTCTGGAGCTTGGTTTTTGAAAAGACAGCAGGCCAGCATTTTTTAATTTCTAAATTCTTCCCATCCAGATAACAGGGACAAAAAGGGCAAAAGCAAAGACACAGTGCTCACAACTCACAGGCTACTCCCACTGTGCATTTCTCTCCTGTCTGTCCCAGAGGGCTTGAATTTTCTCAGTGACAGCCAGACAAGATGTGCCAAGGAGAGTGAGCAGGACTGGGAGTGCAGCGAGCTCTATTTGTCATTCCTGGGGTGGACTCATTTCAGGGAGCAGGTTGAGAAAGTTTAGCCTGATTTAGGCGGTCAGGAGGGATCTGGCTTAGCTTTGCAAGGCAGAAAAAGGGGATGCATTTCCCAGCATCAGGTTAGGCAAACCACTGAGGTGGAGGTGGGAGGGGCAGGTTGGCTGCGAGTCATTTTGTATCTGCACGAAAATGGAATTCAAAACATTCCCTCTAGAGTGGTATCCAATACCAAAATTGGATTTGGGAACTCAGAGTACATGAATATTTGTGCTGTCAATAAGAGTTATCTGTATACAGAACCCTTTCCTTGTCTGCTTTCTCTACCATGCTTCCTTCTTAATTCATTTTCAGTCTTTAATGTACTGTTGTGTAGCATCCTCTCCCATTAGGCCCTGTAATGTGCTCCGATTGCCTTCAGCTTGACTGCACTTAATAGCCAGCGTAAATAGAACTTAGTGTAGCATGCACTAACATCTCTATCCATTGTCCAGAGATTAAATACATGCCACAAATGGTTTACGCATCATCAGCCTCGAGCCCTCGTTTCATAGCTCCCAACCAAAAGAGGATATTAAATTAATTTGCAGGTTGCTTTAGCAAGGCCTAACAAAAAGAGGGGGGAAAAAAATCCTGAGGGTCACTCTGCATATAATATCCATCAATCAAGAAAGAGGGGTGGAAAATGATAATAGCAGGTCATTATAAGGGGACAGGTGCAGGCATATTTAGCTCGATGTCTAGTTCAGGTCAAAGCTTAATGGTGTTAACGGGGAGGAACGCAGGCTATGCGAGCAGTGTGGATGTGTGTAACCAAGAGGCAAAAGGGCAGCTCTGTAACAGGACAGCACTGCCTCGTCCAGATCTTCATGTTTAACCCTTTACTCTGCCCAGACAAGAGCTGTTGAGCAGCACTCAGCTTATGAAAGGAAGGGAAGGAGCAAGGCAGAGATCTCCAACTCCTGTCCTGCAGCAGCTTGTAGCATTCAAAGTCAGCAAGGAGGCAGGGGTAGGGCAGTGAAAATGAAATTGCACACTGCCAGGGTTCAGATTGCCAGGACCTGGTGTCCTGTTATCATGGGTAGGGGTTTTGTCAAGCAGCAGGAAATGCAAAAAGGCAGGAAGGAGATCTGTGAGCAGCAGAGAACATGGGCTAACAGAGATGAACAGTGATCTTCACAAGGGCCAGGACTGAGAGAACTGGGGAAACAATGGCAAGGCCACATCTCAGCTACTAAAACAAGAACTGTGACTAAAATAGTGAGATGTATTTAAAGTGAAGTGAGGCTGATGAGGTTGAGAGGATAGGACAGAGTTCTTGACTTACTGTTATGAAGGAAAGTACTTCATGGATGTGGACTGCACACAGACACTGTGTGCCTGCCCTGCTTGCCAGGCTACACTTTTAGCTCAGGGATTGGGACAGACATGGAAAATGAGAAATCTTCAGTCACACTTGTGGGTTCCTATAAACAACTGGGAAGACACACTTAGGTTTAAAGGACCAACTGAAAATTAGGCTACTCGCTTTGTGGCTGTGGCAAGTAACGTCACCCAGGTGTGCAACTCTTTTCTCTTTAAGTTTGATAGCAATCCACAGAGGTGAAGGAAAATATCAGTGATTATCACTATGTTTCATATGCCAGCATCAGGATTTTGCAAGGTCCTGTTGGTGAATAATAAATCACTGCATCGCTTCTGGAGTGATGTGGCTCAGTGCCACGTTCCCTTGTTTTCTGGGGAAGTGTGTTTTCAGGTGCTGCAATCTGTAGTCTTCATGAGGAAATGATCCAAATCCTCCCCCAAGCCCACAATAACACACTTTGAGTGACATGGATCGTTTTTCTGAGGCTCACAGTAAGTACCATCCATACCCTGAGAAATGATATACTGGGAACTAGAATAATTAAGTAAGGAAATACCCTTTACCACAAGAGTTTAAATGCCCAAGGACTGCTGTCATAGAAATCACAAACTTACAGTATGTCAGCTGATATTTTAAATGCTGTTATGCCATGCCAATTTTCCCAGGCTGGAGCCATGAAAGTGAAGAAAGGCAAATCAACACTGCATGTTAGCAAGGTTCAGCAGGAGTTGCAAGAAAAAAATTTGCTAGTTAAGATATAAATAAGAAGCCAATTTCATGCTGTGTTTAAGGCGAGAAGATTGGTTTGAGTGCATTTGGGAAGGAAAAAAATATACATTACACAAATGACTTAAAAAAAAATATTTTGGGAGCAAGAGGATCTGTTCTGGAAAGTGTTCTTGATGGAGTGGCCCACACAAAAGCAGAGGTTCAATTCCCCCAAAGTTTTGGTGAGCTGTTGTTGCCCCACAGTCAGCCCAAGAGCTGCTTTCAGATGTGGTCTGCATTCTCTCATACTCCCTTTTCCCCCCTATTTTTTTTTTTTTCTAGTAAACAGCAGAAGCTGAATGGATGGGGAAAGATAGAAATTTAATCCTGACCTGCTACAGAGCAACTTCAGCCAGCTCCTGCTCCAGTTTTCACTCCAAGCAGATGCTCAATCCACGTGTTCATGGGAGTGAGGGCCAGGGAAGGGAGAGGGAAGAGCCTGATGGGGCTGGGCTGTGCTCGTGCTCCAGAACAATAGATGATCACTCTTAATTATGGCAGCCTGAATGAGCATCGCTCTGCCGGCCCCTTTCCTCCTGCTATCTGATCAATACAGTCTTAATTGCCGAAGAAAGGCAGTATCCTACACAATCACAGCACAATGGTTTAATCACTTGGACGCTTAAAGTTAATTTCAGGCAGTTCATTTCTCATTGCCTCCCACTCTGTCAGGCATGGCTTTTCTCCTTGCACACACAGGTGCACGTGTGCTCGCAGCTAAAGGTGGGTTATCAATAGCTTTTAGTGAGATTATTTGAGCTAATTGAAAATGTGGGAAATGTTATTATCATGCATAAGCTTAGAAGGGATTTTCTTTTTGAAAGGGGGGTGCTAAAAGCATTCATTGACACACTTCTTGAGGCAAGAGATAGAAAGCTCTTCTTTTTTAGGCCATCTCCTCTACTGCTTTGGTTCTGGCCTGTCCAGACACTCTGGGGCTCCTTAGGTTAATGGTCAGGTGCTGCAGCAGCATTGGAACCTTATGAACTTCTGGAGTGGGAATTCACCTCTCCTTTCCATAGCACCCAATCCTCTCCAGCTCTTGGGGATCCTCGGGCTCCTGGGCTGTGTCTCTGCAGGATTGTTTTTGTGGCTGGCAGAGCGTGGCCACTTGAGAAGGTGTTGTTGAGATCCAGAGTGATCCTTGGCTTAAAGTAAGGGCATATCTGGCTTGCCATGTGCAGAATTTCTGCTGTTTCAGATGTGCAGATCCAGCTTGGATCACATTTTATAGATGAGAGTCTGCTGCAGCACCTTTTTGTTTTGAATATTGTCCAATAGATCCAGCTGGAAGCCTCAAGTTTGGGGCCTGTGAGACGCTGGCCACAGGAAGGAAATTTGGGTGTTCCTCCTCCTTCACAGAGCTGAGCATCACCACAGCAAAAGTACAGGCTTTCCAAAAGTCTCTTGTGATGGTGAGTGCAGTTTCTGACCTTCACTTTGAGACTCCTGGATCAAATCCTCTCCTTTGCTTCCTTCCCCCACCCCAGCCAGAAATTAAGGCACCAAAGCCAACTACAGCTTTTTGTAAATTCCTTGAATGCTGCTGACTTGTGGCTGCCTTAGAAAACCTAGATGAAGAAAACATGAGTAGAAATAGTTCTGACACACAGGAACCTGGTCCAGTGGAGCTCTCAGGCATCACTTTGGCTTGTGAGTGTGCCCAGACATCTTTTATCCTGGGTGTCAATGAATCTGTCACAGAGAGGGGCTGCCCCTTGCTGGGTGCCTGTGCTCAATTAAGGAGAATTTTTATCCCTACCTGGGCACTGAGTGCAGGGAAATCTGATCTCACAGGTTCCAGGACACCAAGGAATAGCTGAGAAAACACTCTGCTTGCAGGATAAGGCAGCGTGGGAGCCAGTGCCATACAAGTAAAAGGCCTGAGGAAAGGTGAACAGAGCTTTTCAGAGCTGTAAGAAAGTCATCCCTGAGCAATGAAAATATTCTGTCAAGAATATTGCTGATGATGGGATGGAAAATTTATCTCAGTTTCGTTTTAGTCACCTCCAGAACTTTGTTCTGTATTGGACTATTGCCTACTGGGACAAAGCTTCTGGCTGGAGGCAGCCAGAAGTTTCTTCTGAATGCTGGTCAGATAAGGAATTTCACAGGCTACACTGACTTTTTTTTTTTCCCCAGAAAATAATTTCCAGGATAAAAATTGTATCCTGTGTTTTTGTTATTATTTTCTGGCTACTGCATGTCTGAAATAGCAGATTTTGTTGCAGCTCTATGTCCTGCAGATCATTTTTCCATGAAGAATAGCAGGCAATGTTAGAAATTTGATAAGACTGGCTTTCTCCTTTGATGAATTCCTGCCCCAAAACTTAGGCAGAAGATGAGGAATTCAGCATGAAGGATACAGACCAAGAGAAAGGACCTGACAGAAGCACAGTCACTCCCTTTGTTGCAATGCTTTAGGCTAACCATTATTCACAGCCCTTTCCTCATATTGCATCTTTCATGATTTGCTTAAGCGATTTTAAATTGCTTTTGTGATTTCATTTAGCAGAGACCACAATAAAAGTGACCCTTGAGTTTATGAAATGAAACAGCCTGCACAAAGGGACTGAGGGCCTCAGCAGTGTGTGGGGTGATGGTTTCTGTGCTGCACGGGGTGTGTTTGCCTGGGACAAAGGGATGATAAAGGGCCTGCAATGAAATGGTGCAAGCAAGGAACATTTCTAGCAGAGCAGCTGGTGTGAAACCAGTCCTGACCAGCTCTTTCCCGGTGCAAATGAAGGGAAGAACTTTCCCAGACAGTCCAGAGCATGCCCACCACCCAGACTTTTTCATTAAAAATAAGGTTTTGGGGTTTATTTTTTGTTCCCTCCTCAATGTTTTCCTTGACAAGGGAGGCAGCAGGCAAGTCACTGAAGGTTTTCATCAGCAGAGCTCTTCAACAGGGGAGTTCATATAGCAAAATGTCCAGGGCTCTGAGTTTATGGCCAGGAGGAAAGCTGATCTCATTTTCCAGATGCTGCCCAAGGTGTACCTCTTGTACCTCACCCTGCCCTGAGATGTTTGGAGCAGTGCTGGGATCAGGTGTTTGATGTAGCACTGCAAGTCAGTAGAAATCCTTGGGAATGAGAAGGGTGATGGAAAGAGTTGGCATTGCTGAAAAAAACCAAAAAAACCCCAAAAAAACCCCTTTGTCTCTGCAAAATCTTCTCAGAGGAAAGCAAAAAACTGTCTTTGGAGCTCATTTTCCGGCCTCTATTTTTTTTTGTGTCCAGCTGGTGCCCAGCTATTTGGGAAGTGGATTCCAGCCCTCATCCATACCCCAACACCCTGCCTGTGCATCCCCAAACCCATCAGCCTGCTACAGTGATGCCTCTTGATAACACCGTGATGTTTTTGACTGCCCAGAAATACAGCTGAGCCTCTCCAGAGCTGAATGAAGCACAAATGAAACAAGCATCAGCAAAGTTGGTGCATTTTTGCACAGCTGCTTTGCTGGGCTGCTCTCTGCTGTGCCAGGGAGAAAATCAGCTCCTGGGAGCACTGCAAAGGGAGGAATCCCAAATCTGACCTCTGATTTTTCTCTGGTATTGGCTTCTGCTATCTGAGACAAAAAGTTAAGCAGAAAATACAGGGGAAATGATAAAAAAGTGACCTATTTTCATGTGGTTTGGCTGCTCTTTACTGCAGATGACAAGTGATCTGATGATCTTAGATGACTCCCAGGGGATGAAGGGCAGGATTTGAAGCACTTTATTGGTGACACCTCATTTAAGGTATTACTCCTGCTTCCCTCCACCTTGCAGGGAAGTCATGTCAGGGAAAGCCCTCGGGAAGAGGCTGCCTGCAGCCCTCCCTGCTTGTTCCCTGTGTGAGACACCACAGCCAGGGAAAGGCAGGATAGATTTGATTCCAGCTGCAGAGCACCTTGTGTGTCAGCAGGAGCCAGAGGCTGTGCTGTCGTGCTGCAGCCTGGCTTGTTTCTGCTCTGAGCTTCTCTGGGGGGTTCAGTGTATATTTGCAAAAAGAACAGCCTCCCTTCCTCTCTGCTCCCCAAGAAAAACAGTAAAAAAAAAAAAAATCCCAATAACCCCAGAGCAAACTTTTTTTAGAGGAAGGAGGAGAAGGCAGTGGGAAGCTGGGGCACTGGGGGAAATCTGATTTTGAGATTTTTGTCGCTGTGGTGGCACAATTTCCTCTGATGCAGCTGTGTAATGAGTTCACATCTGTTAATGCCACATGTTGCTCTGCCTTGCACAGATGCAAAGTCTCAATTTTTCTAATTAGCAACAACATGAAGTATATCTTAATCTTCTGTCCCCCTTCCCTCTAATAAACGTGATATTAACAAGGTTACATGCCTGCTTTCACGGGGTTTAATCGAATGAGGAGCGAGATTGGGTTAGATCACACTGTTCTTTTTAGGTGGGGTCTGCCCAGCTGCAGAGACATCGATTCATTACAATAACCAGCAAGCACAGGACAGGGGATGGGGCCCACACTTCCCTTTTTGCAGCAGCTGTATCAGTCACAACCACTGTTACCTGGGTACATGATCCTTCAACCCTCTCTGGACCACACTGCATATTTGTGTTGCACATTTATCTTTATTTTTTGCCCAGGGAGGCCTTTAACACCAGCTCTGCCCAGACATCCAGCTGCATTTCTGATCTGAGGGGATGGGGGACACAGCCCAGCTCCAGCCAGGACAGGAGCAGGAGATGCTGGAGGCTCCCAAAGCTGTGAGAAGCTGCGAACCAGCTGAACCTGCAGAGAACAAAAAGGGGCAGCCCTGTGCCTCTTCATGCCCTGAAGTGCTCAGTGGCATCTCTGTGTGAGACTGAGGAAATTCCCCCACTCCTGGCTGGAAAAGTGCTCAGCTGGGGCTGTTGGGGACCCAAGAGCACAAGCAGGGGGGCTTGGCCTGTGGTCCCCACGGCAGTGATCAGAGCAGGACAGGGACTAGGGTGGATGGAGCTCTCCCTGAGCAGGATCCAGCCCTCCCTGGACAGCCTGCATTCATATTCCACCTGACTCTGCTGGGAGAACTCCATGGGGACCCCAACAGCAATTACTTGTGTGATTTAATTGGCATTATCATTTTAGTGGCTTGACAGAGATAAATCGCCCTATTGGGTAAGGCTGCTACTGTGACAGCAAAAACAGAAGGAAAGACTTTCTTCCTCTCTCTGGAATAGGCGATGACTACCAGTGTATCTTAATAATTAGTGCTGTTATAATTAATCGGGCTATTTGAGAGTCAATCTAACAAACAAATGGAGGGCTTGATTGTTCAGTAATTGACAATTTGTTTCCAATATGGTATCACTCGCTTCTGCTTGTGCAAAGGAGGAAGAAGACACAAAACTGAGATTACTGGAGGGCTGGGGCTTGGCTGCAGTGAGGACAAGTGACTGTGTGAGAGAGCATGGAGGAAAGGTAGTTTTATGGAAAAGCAGAGTTTTCAGACCTTGGCCTTTCCATACAATTTTCGTCCTGGTTATATTCCAGGATCTGCTCTGTCCAGGCTGTATTTCTTTCCTTACCTTGTCTCAGTCTCCCCTTTCTCTCTGCCTTACCCTCTGCTCTGCAGGGCCATGGTTGCTCTGGAACCTGCAGTAAGCTGTTGATGCTTTGGGTGGAGGAACAATGTGTGGCCATGGCAGAGTGTGTGGATGAGCTGGGCACTGCAGCACTGGGGTGCTGCTCCCATTCCTGGCTCCAAAGAAAGCAAATACAACAAGAGAGTGGGAAAACCATTTAAAAAAAATATTATTTCCATTATTTAAGGGAAGCAAGATACAGATATTTTGCTGGCAAAATGTCTCTATGATGATACCAGGTTTTGAAAAATGGTTAAGAGTCTGCTGTTCTTCAGGAGATTCCCTCCTGCTATCTGCATGAGAACTTTTTTCTTTCTTTCACATAAGACCAAATACATCTGAGTGCTCTGTGTCTCAGTGCTCCTACTGCACCTGCTCGACTCCCATGGGCTTCTGAACTCCTGTTGGTGCTGGCCTGCAGGATGCTTTGTATCACATTAAAAAGGTTGCAATAATCATGGCTGAGGAGACCCTACAGGGAATCTCAAACTCTCACAGTTCTCTGGAATTTGCCTTGGCCACCAAATGTGTATGGATGGATATCCCTATGGTCTGGGGAATATAATTTTGGGCATGGCTTTTGCTCCCAATACAATTCCTCCCTGTTGCAGCAGAATTGTTGCTACACCCAGAGAGGCAGTGAACATCTCTGTCAAGTGGCAACGCTTCTCCCCCGACCCAGTTTAAATGAGATATGAATAATTGATTTGCCTCCTGAATAATTAATTGGATATTCAATAATGAAAGTAATTGTTTGGCTCATTCCCCCATTGATAATCAAGCTAATCTTTCCCTTCAATATGTGGGCCATGCAGATATGTAAAGCAGTGAGACAGTTTATAGGCTGATAATGCAGCTAATGTGCTCGGTGCAGGGTCACCTTGTCCAAATATTCCAGCAGCTCCCAGGGCTGCTCTCTGCTGGGTTATCCACTGCACAGCCAAGCTGTGTGCAGTAAGGGTTTGTTTTTTTCCTCCTCATTCTGATTGCTGAACATCTCCCACCAGGGAGGAGTCTTCTTTTACAGTTTAAACAAAAATCGTCAGACGCCACTTGCTCCAATTAAGGCTTCCAAGGAGGTTTGTTCTTCCTCCAGTCAATAGTGTGAGGATTAAAGGGAGCAAGCAGTGCTCTGAACTCATGGGGCTGCTCTCTTCTGCAGGAATTAGAGCTCAACTCCACAGAGAGGCTCCAGAGCTTTTCTTTGCCACCAGCCCTTTAGAAATCAAAATCAAACTGAAATGTGTTAATGCTGATTTTGCAGCTGCTGCATTTGGGTTTGAGTTTCTAATGTTGCAAGTCCCAGGAAGCCTGGAAGCCTGAGCTGGCAACGCTGTGGCACAAAGTAGATGTGCCCTCTGGAGAGGTGCTCAGACACAGCCTCAGGTTATCCCAGAGGCACTTTGGGGATGTCCATCTGAGCTGCCCCCATGCACTTGGCAGAGTTACCAGCTCTGTTTTGGGGATCTGGGGTTGAACCACAACACAGCATCACAAAATCAAATGATGTGAGGAGAGCCACATTGCTGGGCCCGAGTCAGATACTGAAGGGTTTCCATACTGGTAGTTATAAACTACAACCCCAGAAAACCTTGCCTGCATCCCCTCATGTTCCACCAGACCTGATTCCTGCACAATCCTACTGGTGTCAGAAGGGCTTGAGGTCCTGGCAGGTAATGCAAGTCACAGAGTGTGGAAGACATTTGAGGGGTGCTGTCCCAGGGATGCCAGTACTAACAGGTAAATAAATCCTCTGCCACTGTTGTAGGCTTGTCCTGGAAGAAAAAGGCATTCAGGAATCTATGAGCTTCATCTTGGGCTTGTTTCTAATGAAATGAAGGGCTGAGAGAAGCCTGTTCTGGGGCAGAAAAGCATAAAAAGCATCTTGAGACACCATGGACAGGGAAGGTGAGGCTGGGACAACCTGGAGAGAGGGGGAGAGGGAGTTGTGCTGCTCTTGTTCCTGAGATTCCTCCTGGGTGACCAATCTCCCCCCGTCCCTGGGCTCTGTGACTGACCCGTGCCCTGCAGAGATGTGACTCTCAAATGGTCTCAGACTCTGCCCTGGGTCCCTGCTGGGTCTCTGGATGCTCTCAGTGGAAGTTTCCTATGAGAGGCTGTTGCAGTAGCTGGGACATGGCTAGGAGCTTTCAGGCATCTTTCATTGTGTCCTGAGCCCGTGCTCTGAGGGCAGAGTTCCACTGGGGTGGGTGTTCTCAGCAAGAATTCCTTAAGCCTGGAACACAGGGGATTTATCTTGTACAAACCTGTACTTCCTGAGGTGTCTGTCTGGAGGGCAGGAGATGAAGATGTCATTTGGGAATATCAAAGCAGGGCAGCTCCAGAATACTGTGTTTTGCCATTAGGCTCGAACCCCCAGGACAGTGAACAGCCCTTGGGGCAGGGAGAGGTACCTGTGATTGGAATATCTGACACTCTGAGGTTTCAGCCTCTGGGTCCCTCCTTCTCCTGGCAGCAGCAGTGAGCAGAAGCAGTTACCCGGAGATTGATGCACAATTACAAATGTGCATGTGGGAACCATTTAAAACAAGCAAGGAAAGCAGCAG